GTCTGCTGGGAGAGCGTGCTAGGGCCGTGGACGCGTGGCCTGAGGATGTCCCGGACAGTGGTGTCCGGCTGCTGCCCCCGACACATTAGGATTCCCCTTTCATTTTTCCCGTGCATTCTTACCGAAATTGTGAGAAATAGGATTAGCGTTAGAGTAACGCTATGGCGCGGTTGGGTGTTGTTTTGCAATGACTGAGGCTGGTTCGAGTCCGGATAAGAGGGAAAGAGCTCACTCCACATTGCAGTCCATTGCTGTCAGGCTGGCCTCATAACTCACAACGATCCTCCTGTTGAAGCCTCGCGAGTGCTGGGATTAGAGGCGTGCGCCATCACACCGGTTTACACTCTTGTATCTTGTTTTTCCTCTTTAATGTGTCTTTGACATGTCAAGGCCTAGACAAAATGGAACTAGATGCACCTTGGTTTTTCTCCCCCTATAGTTCTATATACTGGAATCCGAACTCCCCATTATTGCTATCCAGTGAGACAGTGAACATGCCTGAGGTTATTTCATTTTTGGAAAGGAACCACTGAACGACCACTTTATTGTGGCAATTATGTCAAACTAAGTCAAAGGGAAATTTTTAATTTCCTGCAATATATGTAGAATATAGCAAAGGGCTGACTGTTTACATAAAATTACAGAACACTGAAAAATGTTTAGATTGAGGCAGCTTTCTCTTTACCGACTCTTACTGTCTTTATTATACAGTTCAGAGAAGCCCAACTGGGATTACCATGCTGAGGTACAAGCTTTTGGACACCGGTTACAGGAAACCTTTTCCTTAGATCTTCTTAAAACTGCATTTATTAATGACTGCTATATTAAAAGTGAAGAGGCAAAACGTCAGAAGCTTGGCATTGAGAAGGAAAGTATTCTTCTGAATCTTAAAGATAATAAAGAACTATCTGAACAGGGGATTTCTTTTTCACAAACATGCCTCACACAATTTCTTGAAGATGAGTTTCCAGACATGCCCGCTGAGGGCATCAGAAGTCTGGTTAACTTTCTTACTGGGGAAGAAGTCGTGTGTCATGTGGCCCGGAATTTGGCTGTGGAGCAGCTGACGCTGAGCGCAGAGTTTCCAGTCCCTCCGCCTGTGTTGCAGCAGACTTTCTTTGCAGTAATTGGAGCCCTGCTGCAGAGCAGCGGACCTGAAAGGACTGCCCTTTTCATCAGGGTAGGTAGAAATATGAGTAATGGCAAACGCTTGGACATGCTCAACGTGGACAGAAGGAAAAATTCCTTTTTCTAACTTGCTTTGTTGATATAGCCCATTGGAAATGAATTTTTCTCCCAGTAGAAACGGAGAAACACCAAATTTTTTATGGTAGGGCTTGAATTACTTTAGTTGTCTTTTATTGAAGGCATTATCAGAAGTGAATAATAAATTCTGGGTTGTAGTTCTAAAAGATAGTCATAGGTCTTGCCTTTTCAGTTTTTTACATCTTGAGGTCTAAAGATAATGCATGCTTGGATGTTAACAATCCTGTTAGATGTGTGATGAATGCGTAAGGTCAAAGGACACAACCAAGGATGTAGGGTGGTTAGGAACGTCGTGCCTGAGTGCTCTTGTTTCGCTCTTTCAAGTCATAAAATCTTAGATTTCTGAGACCCTGTGGTGTATACTAGCTATCTGCTAGCCAGAAAATTACCTACTTAAAATTCTTATGTAATTAGTACCACCTGACTCCAATTGTCCTATCAGGGTTTATTAGCTGGCAAAAGTTATCTTGTCCATGAAAAGTTTTTCACTGTTCAATAATAAAGAATCCACCAAATCACCCTAAGTGTTAACAATCTTGATTTAGATATTGAATGCCAGGTCCTTTAAACCAGCGTTATTAGTGTTACTCATCTAGTTAGATAAGTCTGATATTTTTGTTAGAAAATTACACCTATAATGATCAACACTTCAGAAGTTCATAGGTAAGCCTTTTTCTTCATCCTTCCCTATCGAGGGCCTACAGTAGGAGTGATATTTTCTATTAATGAAGCTGAAATAGAGTTCTAGTGCCTGGAGGATTGTTGTAATGAAATTGATATATTTCATGAACTGAAGGATCTTTTAAAATTTCTTCCTTCCTCCCTCCATCCATCCTGTTATAGTACTGATGTTTCTTCATGTGAGTTAATTTCATTGTATAAATTGCTGGGGCCAGAATTTGACTCAGTGGTGCAGCACCTGCCTGGCAAGCATGAGGTCTGTTCTGAGTTTGATTTCTGCTACCCCCACCCTGATATATGTATTAAACCTTATAAATTGCTGTGAAATTAGAAATATTATCGGGTCAAATGGTTTTAAAAGGTAGCATTTGTGAAATTATTATTCAAATGACTTTCAGAAATTGACAGTATTATTATCTAGAGGCTCTGCCTATCTGTACATGAGTTTCTGCCAGAAGTTATTACTGTTGATTCATTAATTCAACTCTAAATTTTTTTTCTGAAATTATAATTCCGTCTTATAAGGTAGGATTTTGCCTCTTGTGTAATTCTGGTAGAACCTATTGCCTAACATAGTTTTCTCAGGCTCTCCAGTTTAACTGTAATTTTTGTAATGAAGTTGATATGGAAAAAAAATACATGAGAGCTTTGTGGGTATTGTGCAGTAGCAGAGGATTTGTGTAGGATGCAGAAGACCCTAAGATTGATTCCTAACACAGCTGGTTGGAGGGGAGATAATATGGGAACAAAAAAGAATATTGGTTGAGGATTCCTCCTGAAAAATGCTTGGTCCCAGAAGTGTTTCAGAGGTTTTTTTTTTTTTTTTTTCTTTTTTGAACTGGAGATTGAGCTCAGGTCCTTGCACTTGCCA